CTCTCTCTCTCTTTCTTTCTCTCTCTAAACAATCATGTTTTAAACATAAGTAAAATTGAGTTAACAATTAACATTATACAACAGTATTTGATTAATCAGTTTGTATGAGTATAACCGCATAAGTGGTTGATATGTTAATAACAGTGAAAAACATGGACGTACTGATGCGGCAAATATTGGCCGCTTTAAACACAAAACGATCATGGCACACGTTTCGCACTAGATCATATTGCAATCTATCACGATCGTTTTCCCGTATATCACCATATTCGCTGGACATCCTAGATTCCATGGCCATACACAGGGCATCGGCCGCGTCGATAACACGTTGGGAACATTGGGACACCATAAACATGTCCAACATGACCGGGATCAATTGCAGTGTCAAACTAGCGATAACCATGCGGTCCGGGGGTTGGTGTCGCATGTTTTGGGCCAAACTAAACATGACGCACGATGTCATGATCGCGCCGTAACCAATCTTCACCAATAATTGATTGCCAATCAGCTGACTGAGCATGGTCATTGAGTCCCTGATCTCGATGATTTTCTCACCAACCAATCCCATTGGTTCGTACTGTTTCACGAGAGTTGTTTGTTGCGTGATTTTGGTCACGTAGAGTTGCGATATAATCATTAATAATACAGTGAAGCAAACGGTATTAACCCCGGTGGTAAGGGCAGCTATAATGCTCCCTACGGCTGCTGCTATATATGCCACATAGGTTTGCTATTTTAAAATGGGTAAAAGATTTTTTACAAATTATAATATATTGACTTATGATTTATAAATTATATTAACTGAATTGAATTTTAATTAATTATTTTATAATAGACTTCAATCATTGACTTATAACTGGGTCATAATGGATTTATCGTGGTAAAATATACCTCATAGTTAGCTAGGACGGTCTCCGAAACGCCTACGAGTACTCCGGCAACGGCATAGCATATACAAATAATAGCCGTAAATGCAACAATGTGATAGTAATTAATGTGGCTGTCATTACTATCGCCGTTAAACAGACCATTAATCATGTCGATCAGTCGGCGGCCGGTAATCATCATAACGGCCTTAAAATGCAAAAATTGCACCACAATCAACATGGCCGCCGTGTTTATTAGATTTTGGCTGATTACGCTCCGGGATTTAATCTTGAACAAATGATCCTCAATAATGTACGCCCACTTGTACATAATCAACCCAAATACGACATAATGTAACATTTCATAGTCTAGTAAAACATTTCGTTTGAACTTTGAAAAGGTTTTCACCTTGCTTGTATGCGTTGAAGTATTAAATATCTGTGTATAGATCTTGGTACGATTCCAACCACCAAATGTAATACCCAATAATTGGTTTAGGTAAATAATCTTCAAGAATTTACTATAATTTTCCCCCATTGGTAAACTATCATTAGCTGATTCATCATGCTGTTTAGGCGAAAAAATTACATGCAGATTAGGATTAGGCTTTTGTGCCATTTTTATGACAATTGTTAAATTGTTACATGGAAATGATTAATTAAACTTTTATATAAAAGATATTTTTGCAATAATATTTATATTTAGTGTTTAAGTTAAATAACTAATTATTATTTTATTTTATATTATTCAAATATTTGTGTTTCTATTGAAGTTCGTGACAATGAAATATAGGTGTAATTATTAAAACATTATTATTTTACTACATTATATTAGCATCTATGTAAAAACAATCTACCATATTTAAATATTAGATTATTGATTATTAATTTGTGTCTAAATGTTTGCAAATAATGTCCATGACATTATTTTATTACATTAAATATTGACATATATAAAAAATATTTTCAATATATGCAAATAAAAATATCATTTTCAATATAACAATAATTAATATTTAAAAAATTTAATCAGTACCTCATTATCATGCTGCAACAAAAATTAATTTTGTAAGAAATGTAACCAATAGGTTATACAGTATAGTCAAATGTCAAATAATATCTCTAATTAGTCTAACAATTACAGTCTATAAATAATTATGATTAAACATAAATAATAATTAATTATAAAAATGATTATGTTTTTAATAAATTGTGCAAAATTTATAAAATACACTAATCGCCATATTCAATTAATAAAGGATTTCAAAATTATTTAAAACTTGATTTGTGATTAATATTGTTTAATTTAAATATTGTGATATATAAAGATATTTTAACTGGATTTATAATCCAATAATTTGAGAATAATTAATATATAAATATTTAATTAATGTTTTAACATAATAAGAACTATTAACAATTATTATAAATTATTTATTGTAAATTAATTTACTTATTAATATTAATTTGATGTAATGAAAAATTAACAAATTCATTTGCCATTTTTTATTTTACCACAATGATCGCAATGAACAGCCTCATTCTTAACAGCATTATGGGCACTCTGGTTTGTTTTGATATTATACGGCGGACCCGAATCCCCACGTGCTTGTTGTTTGAATAGACGAGCGGTATTATTCCATGCTGACTGATGTTGGGCAGAGGGCATGGTCGTATGTGTAATACATCGACATGGTGATTGTTCTCGAACACGTGCATTATTGTGATTGGTACGTGACTGGCCATAAGCGAGTGATCGATCGCGGTAACTTGCATTAGTACAATTGGCATTAGAATTACCCCTGTCAGGTGACTGATCTCGCCAACCCACATTATTGGGCTTTGCATTTGAATTGGCCTTGCTAGCTATATTACCACTGGATTGATTATTTTGTTCATGATCGTTTTTACCAGTTTTATAGGGAAAATAAAATGGCATTAATTGTTTATAGATAGCGATATCTTTGTCCTGGAAGAGGCAGAATATGATGCGATCGATGGCAGCGCTGTTAACCTCGAGCCACACCCGGACAGCTCGTAGGGCAATGTGAGCCGCATTTTCATTGGGATAGCCGTAAACACCCGTCGATATACATGGAAACGCTATGGATCGCAATTGGTGCTGGAGCATTAAGTCCAGCGAGGTAGTATACGAGCTTGCTAATTGGTCTGGATTCTCGCCAACAGGTCCAACAGTGTGTATTATGTCTAGATGTTTATTACATAGTCAAAAAAATTTAGTTTTATAATTATTATATATTAATATCATTAAGTAAAAGTATTATAGTTTAATAAATGTTTGATCGCATAACTGTAAAATGCTATATTATTAACTATTTTATAAGATCTAATTTTAACTTTTTTTGTAATTTTTAATATCATTATTACTAATAAATAAATATAATAACACCTGTAAAATGTGAATATAGTTTATTATATATTTTATTTAGTTTTTATTTAAAATTGTACTGGTCACTGACTGAGGAATGTTTAATAAATAATGTTTTATATTTTAACTGTTATTACTTAATAGAGTAATTATAAAATGTTAATAATATAAATATAATAAGCTACATACATTTTGCTGGTAATTTATAACCGCCTGTAATTTTGCTCATTCCTGTCGCGCACCCATTTAATGTCCGGCACTCGGATTGTAACATACCTTTACCCGCAGCCCTATGTATGACCTCATCAACTGGAGAGAGAGAGAGAGAGAGAGAGAGAGAGTATTAAAATAATATTTTAAATATATAAAATATTGAAATTTAACCAACCTCCTCCGCCACCCCTTAGATCAGGGTTAGCCGCGTTAACAATGGCATCGACTTCCAGTGCGACGATATCACCCGTAAATACAGTAACCTTTTCATTAATCTTTGTGTTAACTGGAAATTCTGGTGGCTTTGGGAGACCGCGAGTATATTGTTCCCATGTCGGTAAATGGTCTAGGGTGAAATAATTATCACGGCACCTATACTCGCGCCTTTTTTGGTCTATTGGCATATTCATATAGCGTTCTGTTAAAAAGTTCAATATGGTTTATTTTATTAATATTCTTGTATTATTTTTATTATTATTTAATAATTACCTTTGTTATTATGATAAGACCATCCCATGCAGTGTTGAACATGCTGTTTAGCCGTCTTCTTTTTACTCATGATTTAAATCAGATTTTAAATTAAAATTGCAGAATTGTTATTACAATAATTAAATTTACTAAAAATTCTATAAGTTAGACGACAATAAAATTGTAAACTTGATCACTTAATATTATACTTGCATTAAAAATAAAGTAAAATAACATTTACATAGATCAACTTTTACTTAACAAAAATATTTATTATAATAACATTTTATAAAATTATTATGGCAATATTTGCTGATGTTTAATTTGATAAAATGCATAAATGTCAAATGAAAGACAAAGCACGTGAACGTGAGAATTATGTTTGTTAGTGAAGTAATTTAGAAATTTTATCAAATTACAATTTTATGTAATATATATTAGCGATAACTTATGAGTATTATAAAACAATTTATATATAACTTTAATACATAACTTTATAATTTATTGTAATATGATTATGACAGGAAATTATTTAATTCATACATTTAAACATTATTTATTATCATAAACATAATGAGTAAATTTAACATAAATTTTAATATTATTTTGCAACATTCTCAATATACTGTATTAAATAATACCATAATAAATCAATATCATACCATTTAACAATGCAATAGTTATGCAAAAACAAATTTGATAATTTTATAGTAATTTAATATTATAATACTATTTTTCAGAAACACACACCATTTAATTAACCAATAAAAATAAATGTCATTTTGTTCATGTACCTTTACAATCAGATCATATTTAAAAACGCGATAAATCATTTACATAGATGCTATTTTGTTAATCATAATTACTGTTAATACAATATTGAGTACGTGATGTATTATCAAGAAATTTTTATTGTTGTAGCCCTACATGTGGTTGAATAATTGTATTGTAATAATTTTATTTTTAGTTATGCTAATCATTCTTAATAATGAATGATAGGCTTAATGTAAGCAATTATAAAAATTGTTATTTTAATATAACATGATTAATAAATCATGATTATAATTACAATTATATATAAATTTAGCTAATTTCATTTACAGTTACACTTACTTAACTAACACTCAAGTGTACTCACTTAATTAACATGTCACGTTTTAAAATTTAATATTGTTAATTAATTATTGAACAGGGTCGGCAATTATTTCATTACACCGATACGGCCGGTGCTATTGGTATACTACGGACCGGATTTATACGCCAGGGTCGTGGTTGGGGCGGCTTTTCACCCGGTGTGTACTTAAACGATCTAAGTCCGCTAGATTACAATCGTGATGAAATAACACGAAACAATTATGGTAGTATTGCATGGCGGTATTATTCACGCTCGCAATATGTTGTGGTGATTGATATTGATACTTTATTGCCCCACTATCTGGAAACTAATCACATCAATGGCCGCCGTATTTACTGTTATAGCGATGACATCAATATCAGTGCGGATCAAGTGATGTGTATTAGCGATGACGACAGCGATGAAGAAGAAAATGAAGAATCGTCCGATGAATCAACAGATGATGAAGAAAGTGATGAATTGAATGATTATTTTGATGATGATTATGATTATAATTATCCGGAGATGTTTAGTCACTTGTCAATTA